TTCTTCTTCTTCTTCTTCTTCTTCTTCTTCTTCTTCTTCTTCTTCCTTCTTCCTTCTTCCTTCTTCCTTCTTCTTCCATCTTCCATCTTCCTCCTCCTCCTCCTTTCTTCCCCTCCCCGGAGTGGACTAACGATATGGGGAGACATAGGTAATTATGTGGAACCAGGATAAACAAAAAAAAATCAATCATTTTGTTCTTGGTTCTTATTTAAAACTTGGCCTTCAGAGTTGGTGTGCAATTTGGAGAGATAGAAACAAATGAAACCCAAACATTTAGTTCCCAATGAAATATTGACACTCCTTTCCAATGGAAGGAGAGACTGCAAAGGGGCTGCAAAGTTGTGTAAAACCTGTTATCTTAATGCACCTTCTTCAACAATGTAGTTGTGAGTCATTAGGGGCTCATCACCATATCCTGGGATGATTCATTCTGTTGCATAGGAGATGTGCCACTCACAACTCCTTCCAACTACTTTCCCAATCCAGACACCTGACTTCTTCCTCAAGAGTTGCGGTAAACACTTGCAACTGAGCTTACAGAAACAGGATGAGAAATAAAGAGCAGAAATGGCTACCTCCATGTCTGAATCCGGCTAAAAGCACCTCTCAGCTAGCTATCCCATGGGCAACTTCAAGCACCAATTCACTCCTGATGATTGTAACTAAGGAATAAGCTGGTCTTCTATCCCACTTGGGCAAAAATTGTTTATCGACTTGGAGGCTGGTTTTGTAAAACCAGTTACACAATTGTATCAGACTGGCTGTTTGAAGAACCTCAAAGAACCATCACTTCCTCTTGCGAAGACTATAAAACTTGCTACCAGCAAAAAAAAACAAACCCAAAAGTTCTAAAAGATGGATGAAGATGGATATATGAGTATAGATCCAAGTAAAAGAGACTATCCCTTGCCAGCCATTAAAGGAAAGAAAGGTAATATCTTACAGCTATTTATTTTTCTTTATTTTACTCTGCATATTGGCACTAAGGATTTTTTTAAAAGGGAAAATTTAGAAAGGGGTGAAAGTGAATCTAGTCCCTATTGTTTCTGGGGGGAGGGGGAATTACATTTCTTAAATGTCATTTTTGTTTAACAGAGAACTCTTTCCTTGATTATCTACATGTCTTTTGCTTTAAATTCTTTCTGCATATCTAGCAATTAGGAGAGGGAGGGAGAGAGACAGAGTGTTTGGTCTGGTGGTTAAGGCAGCAGACCAGGAACCAGAAACAATGAATTCTAGTTCTGCCTTAGCCATAAAAACCAGCTGGGGGATTTTGGGCTGGTCACTTTCTCTCAGCCCAACTCACCACACAGAGTTGTGGTTGGGGGGAAAATAGGAGGAAGAAGGAGTATTACATATGTTCTCTTCCTTGAGTTGTTTATAAAAATAATAAAGGCAGGATATTAAATAAATGTATAAATTATATCCAGAAGCTAGAGACTAAAATAGAGAGGTTGACTGGCTGGCAGGATAAACAACTGAGCTTTTTAAAATGGCAATAAATCTCATTTCGTACAATGGGACAAAATTCTGGGAAGATAAAAAAAACCATTTTTAAAGTTTACAGAATTACAGAATGTCTGAGTTGGAATGAAACCTGGAGGTTTTCTAATCCACTTCCTGCTTAAGCAGAAGATCCTATACAATGACAGA